CTCCGTGGTCAGCGAGGCCAGGCGCCCCGCCAGACGGTGCTGGTCTCCTGACGTCCTGGTCAGTTCCTCCTGCAACGCCTCCGACGTGGCCGCCGCCGCCTCCGCCTTCGACGTCACCGCCGCCAGTGTTCCCCTGAGAGCACTGACGTCCTTCGTCACCACCAGCAAGCGAGACTCAACCTCCTGTGGCAGACGTTAGTTAATTTTAGTCTTTAAGAAGACGGAGGGTCAAGCCTTCACTATTCTTTTGCACCGAAGAACAGCTGACTCACCTGCTTGTCGTGCATGGCCTGGCTGATATTGAACGACTGCTGGAGATCAGCCACAGAATCCTGGAGGTGGCGGATGCTGTCAGCTACCCAGGCCACCGTCACCGCCTCCCTCTGCTCGTGGGCGTGGGCGTGGGCAGCGCTGGCCTCGCTCTCCGACGCTCGAGACGACTTCAGTCGCTGTACCTCCGATCTGCAGAGACACGAAGAAAAAGGTTAGGTTTGTTTTTTATAATAATAATAATAATAATAATAATAATAATAATAATAATAATAATAATAATAATAATAATAATAATAACAATAATATTAATGAAAGTGATATAAACTTCTATGTGGGGTAGTGTGACTGGTGGGGTGCCTAAAGAATAAGTGGTCCACCCGATGGCATTAATAATTTACATTAAATAGCGCTCCAATTATATGAATATATTTCCATGTAATGGAAAACTCTTCAGTAAGTGTCCAAAGGAAAGTAGAGAATAAAGAGTAACAATACCCCGGCTGCAACTGCTGAACAATAACCCGAGTACCGCAGTGTAACTTTGCTGGACGACAAGACAGAGAACTGTAATGAAAATACCGATAAGAGAGACACAAGTGGTCCAGGAGGGTCCAAAAGGGCGCCATGAGGTTCCTCTCCTCAGCCTGGGTTAATTGTGAATAAATAGGAAGTCAGACACGTACACGCCTGGTTCGTACTTTTTCCGGTGTTAATACCGTGGAACCTCGGTGTTTGAACTTAACTGGTTCCTGGGTGGTGTTCGAACTGCGATAAGTTCGATGTCCGAAGCAGTATTTCCCAGGCTTTAATTATCAGCGTCACTCACTGGACGATGTTGAACTGATTCTTCCACAAGTCTCTGAGAGTCAGGTTAGTATCAGAGGTCACTTCAAAGTACTTTTGAAACAGGGCTTTAGTGTTTAGTTTTTTTTTTTTACAACTGAATCTTAAACAAGTCAGCACGTTCGGACTCCAGACAAACGTTCAAAGACCGGGTCAGTTTTTTTCTGAAGAAAATTGTTTGGACTCTGGTTTGTTCGAGATCCGGTACGTTCAAACACAGGGGTTCCACTGTACTCTTCCTGTGGCACTCTCTAGGGCACACCCACTGGCACCCCAAAACTCTCCTCTTATCAATCCCCACGTCTTGTTCTATATGAAATTGATAAAGTCCCTGGTGGTAGAAAAGTCTTCACGATAAATTGCCATAACGCGCACTTGTGTCTCTCTCTGATATACAAACTTATTGGCAAAAACATCGTAGGTTTCAAACCTGCTTGTAATGTAATCCTCTATCTTACATGCGAAAACTTTTATGTCTTCAACGCATACTGAAGAATTCTTATGTTTATTCTGATCCCATTAGCCATCTTTTAAGTTAATGCTGAAGCCTCGGTTGCACATAGACTTCAGTCCTCATTATTCTCACAAAAGCGACAGCAAATATGATTAATAATAATGATGATGATGATGATGATGATGTATAATAATAATAATAATAAATAATAATAATAATAATATAATAATAATAATAATAATAATAATAATAATAATAATAATAATAATAATAATAATAATAATAATAATAATAATAATAATAATAATAATAATAATAATAATAATAATAATCTCCACAAGATATGAAGTTGTTATTAAGCTAAATAACAGTTCATAGGATATATGGAAAGTCTTGGTTATGTAGAGCATTTCGACCAGTAGAGTGGAAGCCTCGAAGGAGGCTTCCACTCTGCTGGTAGACAGCATCGAGGGTAAAGGTGCTTTCATCTGGGAACCCTGGTAATGGTGGAGGTTTGCAATGGGAACTGAGCTCCTAGTCCCGCCCCCTGCCTGGTGTGGGAAAGTCTCTCCGTTGGTGGAGGTGAGAGGGAGGTGGTGATGCTGGAGGTGAAGGTGAGAGGGAGGAGGGGATGCTGGAGGTGAAGGTGAGAGGGAGGAGGGGACGCAGGTGTTAAGTAGTTACCACACAGTGGTTACCTCATATAGCTACTAAGTCTTCCCTGCATCTTCCTCCTGTGTCCTAGAACCTTCCCTACCCATCTTCCTGTGTCTCCCTCTCTCCATGCCCCTTCCAGCTCCCTCCTGTGTCCCAACTTCCCTCCCTCTTTTCCCCATCTCTCCTTGCTTCTCTCTCTCTCCCTCTCTCTCTCTCCACCTGCCTCTCACACTCCTTCAATCTCCTCTGGGTGTGACAGAAAATGACAGGTAAGCATATCATAGTATAAGTCTGGAAAACTTAATATAATCTTGAAACACACAGTTTAGGTTTGAAACAGTGTAAGTTTGAAACACCCAAGCATAAGCCTGAAACACTCAGCATAAGCTTGAAACACTCAGCATAAGCTTAAAACGAGAAACCTGCATTCTTCTCGCCCACTTTCAAATTACATTATCACGAAGCTGCAGTTTCTTAGAGGATCCCAAGACTCTGACAAGATACAACAGGAAGCTTAGGGAAATAAAAAAAAGAATCCCTCTTGAAAGTAATAACCTACTAGTAATTATCTAATTGTACTTGATTATAATTATCGACTTGTAATTTCCTCTTTGTAATGGCCTGTTTGAAATAACTACAGCAGCAGAACTGTGCTCGTGGTGTCCCGTCTTCAAAGATTTGTTCATTATATATTTTGCTTTAAATTTCCAGTGGTTGTAGCACATTAATCACTTCCTCCTCTTGTATTAATTTATTCCTGTCGCTTTGAGTAGAAAAATTTCCTGGTATCCCTTCGATTCTCTTTTTTTTCCCTTCGTCATCTTCTTGCACAAGTGAAAATTGTCTGTCTCACTGTGGGGCCAGAAGTCGACACAGAATATACACACCGGGAAGTTGATAAATTAGACACATGTGCAACTCTTGGGTATCTTTATTAAGGAAACGTTTCGCCACACAGTGGCTTCATCAGTGTATGGACTGATGAAGCCACTGTGTGGCGAAACGTTTCCTTAATAAAGATACCCAAGAGCTGCACATGTGTCTAATTTATCAACTTGTCGGTTCTGTGAACCATTCATCTACAACACCGGGAAGTGTACTTCTCTCTGTGATTAACATCTGTTTTTAAGGATAAAGCTATTCTTGTCTGGTGGAAAAATGGGTAATGGATAGCCATTAGGTTTTGAATTCCATTAACCAGCCTCACCAATTCGACGTCGCATTCTCAGGCATTCTCAGGCATTCTCAATCCCAACGTCTATTCAAGTGATTATTGACCTGCAGCGGCAGAGAGAGAGAGAGAGAGAGAGAGAGAGAGAGAGAGAGAGAAGAGAGAGAGAGAGAGAGAGAGAGAGAGAGAGAGAGAGAGAGAGGGACTTCAACATATCTCGTACAAGAGACAATCTCGGGAAGTCTCAAATCCATTTTGCCAGCACCTTAATCTTCGTCTAATTGAGCGGTTCATGATGTATCATTGTCTCTCCACATGTTTGACAGGGAAGGACTCTTCGATCCTACAGGAACTTCCTGGAGACTAGTGCTGGCTTGATTGAGGGATCCCAGGTATCTTTGTTTATTTCTTTTCAGACAATGGTGAGGATGTGGTATTGGTGGTACTTAGGGATGGCAGTGATGTTAGTGGCGGTGGGGTACGTAATGTGATGATAGTGTTTGAGTGGTTGGGGGGAGAGTGGGAAGATGACGTTAGTGGCCCAGATGGGTCAGGATAAGCTAGTAACGATGGGACTTGGAAATGGGGCGGGATTAATAGCAATAGTGGCGAGATTAACACTCATAAGTGTGGAGTTAGTCAAGTAGTCGTGCTAGTGAAGTCAGTAGTCGTGCTTGTGAAGTCAGTAGTCGTGCTAGTGAAGTCAGTAGTCTCGTGCTTGTTAAGTCAGTAGTCGTGCTAGTGAAGTCAGTAGTCGTGCTTGTGAAGTCAGTAGTCGTGCTTGTGAAGTCAGTAGTCTCATGCTTGTGAAGTCAATAGTCGTGCCTGTAAAGTCAACAGGGGTCATGGTGGTCTGTAAATTACACAGTACATCACTTGTCTTGTCTTCAGTTCTGCTGATACAGTCTGGGTTGTCTTTCTTACGTTCAGCAGAATTCTTAAACAACCCTAAATTGTGGCAAATAAAATAGTAAAAGAAATAAATAATAATAACAAATGTATTCGAAAAATAACGACAGAAGCTTAGCATTTAAAATAAATCGACAGAAGCTTAGTGCACTTGAATAAATAATGACAGAAGCTTAGTGCACTTGAATAAATAATGACAGAAGCTTAGTGCACTTGAATAAATAATGACACAAGCTTAATGCACTGAAACAAATAAATTAGTTTGTACACAAGTTCATACTCGTCTCTAGGTTTCCCACGGACTTTCTCTGGAGCGTAAAAGAGAGAGTTTTAGCTATCCAAGGGCTGTTAGGTCTAATTAGGCCTAGGAGTGTGTATATGGGAAGGGCAGACCACTACCGGAGGGGGGAAGGGGAGGGAAGCGAGGGTTTTAAAGGGGACAGAAGGGAGGTACTTTGGGTCGTTTGGTGTGAGGGGATTTACATAAGAACAAAAAAAAGGAGGGAAAACTGCAGAGGCCCCGCGGCCCATACTAGGCAGGGGCCTTTACAATTCATCCCACAAAAAAACATTTACCCAAACCCAATTTTCAATCTCCCCAAAAAAAAACTCGAGTGAAAGTCCCACCAAATCCAACCCCCCACCATTACATCCAACCTAATTTGAAACAAAACCCAAAAACCTAGCCTCAAACCCCCAAATGGAACTTTTACCATCAAAACCCCATTTTCCCCAAACCCCAAACTTTCCCCATGTCCTTTCTAAATCTAAACTTATCTAATTTAAATCCATTAACTGCGGTGTTCTCTCTTGGAGAGACATCCTCAAGACCTTATTAATATCCCCTTTATTAATACCTATCTTCCACTTATACACTTCGATCAGGTCTCCCCTCATTCTTCGTCTAACAAGTGAATGTAACTTAAGAGTCTTCAATCTTTCTTCATAAGGAAGATTTCTGATGCTATGTATTAAATTTAGTCATCCTACGCTGAATGTTTTCTAACGAATTTATGTCCATTTTGTAATACGGAGACCAGAACTGAGCTGCATAATCAAGGTGAGGCCTTACTAATGATGTATAAAGCTGTTAGGTAAGACACATATGCAACAGTTAGACAACTTTATTCCGAAACGTTTCGCCTACACAGTAGG